TTTCTTCATCTTTGGCCATCATTTGACTCTCTTTTTCCTGGGAATGTATTGTTTCCTCTTCCCTCTTTGGAGAGGTGGGGGGGGGCTGTTTGTAACCTCTCCCCTGGTTTGGAAGCCAACAGCTGTACTATCCAGATGTGTCATGTGAAGGATCCTTTCACCTGGAGTTGGAGGCACTTGTCAAATACCTGATAGAACAAAATTAGAACTTTGATGCTCCTATTGGAGAACCAATAACATGCTTCCTGCTTTATTAATGTAACTTTTAAGCTCTTGGTAAATATCTAAAGAAAGCAGCTCTGGACTGAGTGGCTCCCTCATTCAACTGGCGCCCACTGAATGTAAAGGTCTTATGCATCCAGTTGAACATCCACTGCAGTTGATGTTCATTATTTAAGGGTTCCATATTTGTGGATTCCCCTACTTGTTCAAATTTGTCTGTAATCCCCAAGTTAATATGCTAAGAGCTCCTGTGATCTTCTACTGTTGTGTGCTGATCATGAAAATCTTAAGTCTCAAGTCACCACAATGCACATTACCAGCTGAGGTTGAAGGAGCTGATATCCTGCCTTTCTCTTTAAGCTCTCACACTATGTGCTTTTTCCAATCTTGTTAGTGCTATGAGTTTTCTCATTTCTGTGGTTTTTAAAAATTTTTTCAACTGGGGATGGAAACTAGAGCTTTTGTGATGAACTACATCCTAGCCCTTTCCTTTTTTTTTTTTTTTCATATTGAGTTTTAAACAAGATCATTCTAAGTGGCCAGGCTGGGCTCAAACTCATGACTCTTGTGCCTCAGCTTCCCACAGTGCCATTACCCACTCCCAGCTCATTCCTGTTCTTTTTGATGGTGAGACGTTGGAGCATAGTACTGAAATGTCATCTATGGTTCCCAAACACAAGAGGGTGTTGCTCTTTCAACAGAAAAGCTTCATTCAGACCAAATTGGAGGTGTTGCTGACTGAGAGTTCACTGTTAATGATCAACAACATGTCAGATAAGATGTCTTTCAACAGAATCTTACATCCAACAAAGTTCTGCATTGATTAGTTGATGCAAATGTGACCCGACACTTATGGAAAACTAACTCTGTATTCTCTCGAAACGATAGCTCAGTATTCGCTAATTCAGTATTCATGGTGACTTCATGGAATACTGAATAAGAAGCTGTGGATAAGAAGAAATCAGCTGTATCCAGCTGATCCAACCAAGAGTCTGGAAATGCTATAGGAAAAGCAACACGATGGAAAACACAGGAAAGGACAATTGACACTGCGTGGACAGTTGAAGCAGTCCCCTGGAGGGGCTGCTGGGAGCAAGGTTCTAAAATCAGGGGTAGAAACTCCAGGAATGCAGCAGAATGAAGGGTCAGTCAACACAAAGGGGAACTGTGCGCAAAAGAGGGGTGCTCTGAAAGACGCCTCCACCCTGAGCCAAGGAATTAAATGAGCAATCAAGCCAGACCCATTAAATCACACCTGTACCTCAGCTCCAGGTAAGGATTTTCAGCCCCTACAGTTTCACTACACGGTTTGGGCATGGTTTTTGCAACAAGCAAGTGTGCAGCTTGTCAGCTGAGAAAACTGGCTTGGTATTTATAATCAAAGCCATTATTCTGCCTTCTGAAGCCTGGCCTGTATTTCAGCAGAATCCCTTACTTGCATAAAGGACCCTGGCCAGCAGCTGGCAAGGAAACCCGTCACCTCTGGAGGCCACTGTGGGAAACACCAGTGGGAAAATACCATATAATTGTTATACTTAACAGGTAACGTCCCCTCAAAGCCTCGTCTGGGGCTTGTGGAGGAACATGATGATATTATGAGGCTTATAGCTGAATTGCTGTAGGGAAAAGGGACATAACCAGAGGAGGCGGGTCCCTAGAGGCCTGACCCGGAAGTTTACATTTCACTTCCGGCTCATCCCTTGACATCCTCTGCTTGCCTGTCATCCAGCTATGAGCACTTCTCCTCTGTGACCCTCTGCTATGCTCTCTTACCTTGGCGCCTCCTGACTATGGACTGAAACCTGTACAAACTGGACTAAAATAAACCTCTCCTCCTTTACACTCTGTGGGTATACCCAAGGGATGAGTATAGTATCCCTGTTGGGTATAGTGTCCCTGTGACGAGAAAGTGAGGAAGACAGTAATTCTTGCTGAAGATCAGGGACCCGAAGGTCAAAGATTAAGATTTTTTTTACTTGTGACATAGCAAGCAGAAAACAAAACACTCTGATGCTTCAGGATTTGGGACCCCAAGGACTCCCTACCACAACCATATCTATGAAGGAACCTGCTAACCAGCAAGTTTTAAATGAGCACTTAGTGTATATCCAGCACAATTAAAAGCAATGCAAATGATACACACTAAAGGACACGTAACATTTTACATGGCTTCTCTTTCAAGCTGCCAAGCAATTTAGGTGTAGATCAGCCCTCACATCAGCCTTCTGAAGTAGGTTTCATTACTTCCATTTTAAGGAAGAGAAAAACCAAACTTACAATAATTAAGTGATTTTTCGAAGTTCATGTAGGTCACAACTGGCAGAAGCAGGGTTTATATTCAGCTTTGATCCTAAATCTAGGCGACATCACTGAAGATGTCTCTGACCTCAGGAAACTTGCATCTGTGGAATGTCCCTGATGTCAGCAAAGACTGTGAGACATCACGAATAAGAGGAGACAGTGGCTCAGACTCTCAGTTTTATGGCAGTATTCAAAGGACAGAAGTCTGAGTTCACAGTGCCACACTGTTCCCAAAATCATGGGCATAAAACAATTCTTGATATCTGGAGAAGAGGGAAGAAGCCGTTCCAGGTGCACATCCAGAAGGAAGTCCAGGAGCAGGAAAGATCCCTCCTGCCGGCAACAGCCCATGCTGGCAAGGTAAAGCCAGTATGTTGAGGATTTTGGAGGGAAATTTCCAGGATGCAAGGTTTGCACACAGTCTGTGTGAGCACTGATATCAGCCCTGAGAATGCTTCAGCTGATGTGTTTCAAAGATCAGGGATGGGAGTGGGGATAAATAAAATTAAATTTTAAAAAACATGGGAGGTAGACTTGGTCCATGGAGTGCTGGCCAGAGGCCCTGGGAAGAAGGGAGTTCTCTGATTACTCTTGCATTTTTGCCTTCTCCTTCTTCTCCTCCTCTTCCTCTTCCTGTCCTGAAAGAAAACCCTTAGCCTATTGCAAATTTCCTACGGCCTCCTAGGATCAACCATAGCCTCCTCAGACTGACCTGGGTCCCACGGTCCATCCGCTGCGGTGGCCTCTATTTTGTCCTTCTACCTAAGGTACCCATGTTTCATTTCCTGCTTGCTGAAGTCTGACTCAGCCCTCAGGAGTTAGTTTAAACATTGTCCTCTTCAGAACCTGCTCTCGGTTTCTGCCATTTCCAAGCCCACACAGCAGATATCTCCACATAGCCCGTTTCTTACTTTGCCTTGTCATAGCCAGCTATAGGTCGGCTGCCCATCTGTGTCTCAAGGTCTTGGACAAGGGTCCTTATTCCATCCTTCAGCAAAGTGCCTGCCATTTGGTGATGTTTAGTCTCTCTTTAAAAATAAATATGCAAAGAGGATGTCCTTGAAACCAGAACAGTTTGGTTTAAGTTTAATTCAGATAGTAAGGCCTACTTTAGCAAACTTACATTGTGAATGAAAACCATCTGAAATTTAATCTCAACTTACCTGCCCCCTAAATGGAGGTTTAATTTCAGTGTAATCTTTAATAACTTCTAAACTAGTTATTAGCATTGCTGATGAAGTTGGAAGACTGTTTCATTTGCTTGTTGTGTCTTAGGAAACACTTCATTATTAAATTCCACACTGATAATTAGAAAACCCTATTATTTTATGGGCTAGCACATACCAGGCAAGTATCCCTCCATTACTGAAACAAAAGCTGTCTTTAAGTGTCAGTGGTGAAATCTCATACATCAAATAGTCCCTCTTCCCAATATAAGCTACATTATTAGAGACAGACAGTGTACAGTAAAATGTCCCGTGTTGCTCAGAAATCACAGAGGTTTATGAGGATAAGTGTCACCTCTGGCTGGCTCATGTTTGTCCTTCCCAAAGGGTGGCCAAGTTCAAGTGAGATGCGTAAGTAAAAAGTTCTGCTGTGGGGTAGGATTACAGTATCTCGCAGAACTTGAGAATGGAGGCTGGTCCTGAGCCAGCTGCCCCTGAAGACCTCGAATGAAGCAGGGGAAAGTTTTCACAGGCCTCCTTCCAACAGAGAGGCCGTGTCTACTGTCCTGACTATGCAGTCCTGCCCAGTTGTGAGTTACTGTCAAATCCAGCCAGAAGCTTGATGCTTCGAGTTCGTGTGAGGCTTCAGACCCACAGATAGCAACAGCCCCAAGGAGGCTTGGGCAGGCCAAGTTCTCCAGGGGACACACACAGGTGCTCAGGAAGGGGACGCAGCTGATCCGGTTCTCCTCCCTGAGCTTTGGGACTTGCACTCTGCTCCCTAAGCACCTGGTCCACACAACCCTTGACCACCCGCGGCTGCTACACACACAGCTGAGCACACTGGGAATATCTCATCTAAGTTGCCTTGCTGCCCTGAGGTATAGGCAGCCGCCACACTCTGGGATCTGTGTGTGTACACACATACACACACGCATGCACACACGCACACACGTCTGCACACACATACATGCACGCAATCATGTATGCACACTCAAGTATGAACGCACATGTGCATGCATACATGCACACACACAAGTATGCATGCACACACATGTATACGCACACGCATGCACGCACACTCACACAGACATACACACGCACGGAGTTCTGACTCACAACCCATTTGACACGGCCTGGGCAACTCTTCTTTCTCTAAAAGCAAGTGCCTCTCGACAGATATTTGAAAACAGTGGTGGGACAGCCTTGCTATTAACTGCAACTTTCTCTTGCATCAGAGACTGTAAGCATTTCCGCAGACTCAGTCTTCCGGTAACTACACTTTCTAGACTGAGAGCTCCGAAGACCTTTCAGGGATCCCACAGTAACCGCGGCCCCGAGAACAAGGAATCCCTTCGCGAAAGCCTGCAGCAGGGCCGAGCACGGAGTCCGGGCCTGGAACCGCGGGCTGGGGCGAGAGTGGCTGAGTTCAGTGCACTGGCTCTGGGTGGCTGTGCTGCGAGCCCCGCGGGCCCGGGAGTGTCCGGTGAGCGTGGAGGGATCGACTCAAGCGGGCCGAAGATCCTGAGAGGGCTGCGCAGGGTCCCCTGTACTGGGCAGGCCAAGCGGCCAAGGCCGCGGGTCTTGGGCGCCCAGAGGGAGCGCAACCCTCAGAGTTAGGGGGGAGTCAGCGGGGGCGGGGACGACGGGCCGGAGCGGGCGGGGCGGAGCGAGGGACTCCAAAACTGGCCTGGGCGGAGCGAGGGACTCCAAAACTGGCCTGGGCGGGGTCGGGCGGGGCGGGGCGGGGCGAGCCGGGCCGGGCCTCTGGGGCGTGGCCTGTGTGACTGGGCGGGGGCGGGCTCTACGGGCGTGGTCTAAGCGGCTGGGCGGAGTCGGGGGCGGGGTCGGGATCCGGGGCGTGTCGGGCGGGCTGGAGGCGGGGCTCAGGGCGGGGCTGAGGCGCCTTGGGCGGGGCTCCGCTGTCTCGGAGCTGCAGCGCCGGGAGAGGCGGCCTCCAGGCGGCGGAGCTTGGCGAAGCGCGGCGGCGGCAGTGACTGGTGAGCGGCGCGGGCGGCTGGGACGCGGCTGGGGTGCGGGCTGAGTTGGGCGGAGCGGCGGAGGCTCCGGGCCTCGGGAGCGTATGGGGCATTCTGAGACCCTGACCCTGTCATCCCCACCGCTTGCGGCGACCTGCTACCTTGAGGCTGGGAGGCTGCGGGCGAGCGCCGAGGATCCGACCCCTAGCGCGATCCTCCGGTCCTGCTGGGATGCGCTCTGCCGGAGTCCCCGGCTCCATGAGGGCTTTCTGCTCCAGACCACCCTTATCCACTCCCTCTTCACCCTTCGCAGCCTTGCTTTCCCAAGACCCTATTCCGTGTCCCTCCCCGCCCCCGCCAGGCCGCTCCCTGCCCAGCTCCCTGCAGCCCAGAGGCAGCACGGCGCCCTCCCTGCCTGCACTGGGGCCCTTTGCTGCCACCTGCCCAGGATCCCAACTCCCGCCACCTCCCTGCTCTCAGCCCGAGGACAGCCCAAGCTCGGCTCCAGACTTTGACCATCCAGTAATCCTGGTTTGAGGGGACAGTTTGACCCACTTCCTAGGAGGCTGGTCCCAAGCCAGCTGTGATCTCTGGTGGAGACACCTGGCTTGCTGCCACTAGAAAGACTGAGGACATCTCTGTCAGAATGGGCCAGCAGGTCCCTGGCTTCTTCCAGACTGCTCAGACTTGCTGGCTGGTGTCCCCAGAGACCAGGGCCAGGCGTTTTGGCATTTAAAGCCTCCAAAGCCATTTGCCCACCCAGCTCCCCAGAATTTTCCCCAGGCTCCATTGGGGATTCAGTCCAATACTAAGTGCCTGCTTTTCTAGTGTCTAGGCCTGGCCTCCTCACCTCTGTTCTTGTTTCCCTGCCTGCTGCCCAGGAAACTCAGGGGAGGATGATTGGTTGGGTTTAGGGTTTTGGGAGACCCCACAGCTCTGTGGCCTCCCTCCTTTCCCTATTAGAAACTTCAACTGCTTTCATCAGTCACTGTCTCCCTTGGATGGGCCTGAGCTACCTGCATCTTGAGGAGTCCCCAGAGCACAGAAAGCTGGTATGGGGGTCCTGCAGGACAGCAAGAGAAGGATGCCACCAGCAGGTTTGGGATTGGGGCACCAGGATTGTAGGGTGGATCCTGTTAGGAGATCCAAGAGGGGTTCCAAGGCTTCTTTGCAGTAGAGAGAGCAGAGCAGGGCTGTTTTTCCTGCATGTTTCTGTCCTGTGTTGCTATGGTGACAGTTTTTCCTCTCTTCCTCTGCCTCTTCTGGGAGCTGGTTTTTATTGGTCTGTTGTCCTGTCTTTTATGACTCTAATTTCTCCTTTCTACTTGTTCTGAAATAAAGTCATAAATGTGGTGGCTGGGTCCAGGATGGGGGCTGGCAGGAGTTTACTTCCTGCTGTGTTGCGCCCCTGTGAGGGGAGAGAACAGAAGGTCAGATCTGTCTGAACTGCCCCTTGCTCTCAGCTCTGGGACAGGGGCAGCAGCATCCCTGTTAGGGACATAGTGGGTAGCACTATGGTGCTAATAATAGATACCAAATGCCAGCAGGAGCTCACTGATGTGCCTTCTTTTCTTCACTACAGTTCCACGGGGGCGGGACTGTCCCCACTTTACAGATGAGGAAACTTAGCTGCCAGTATGGGCCCTTTTCCTCTGAGGTCACACTGGTGTTAGCACATACTGGCCTGAGCTTCCATGAGGGAAGGGAAACTGACACAGCTGGGGTATGGCTCTTCTGGCTCCCACCCTATTGGCTGTGTGATGTAGGTCACCGAAGGACCTCAGCCCCTTCCATGCATGCTTTATGAGGCTCATTGGAAGTGTCCTCAGTTTCCCTACCCCTCTAGTGTGCTGCTAGAGACAAGCTGCCAGAGAGTTAGCTAGCTGCCTGTCATGTCCTTCTCGTTCCCTTGACACCAACTTTGGGAACCCAAGTTAAGAACAGAGTGAAGCCATGTGTGACTTCCTGTTTTACTCACGAACTGAGAATTCAGCTTGCCTGTTCTCCTCAAGGCCTAGGGTGGAGCCAGCTGAGGCAGGGATGCAACCAGCCTAGGGCAAAGAGTTCTGCACTCTGTAGGACCACAGGATCACTCCATGTCCCTTGCTGGTGCCACTAACCAGTGGAGCTGCCTCACTGTCATTTCTCTCTCTGTGGAACTGTGGACTTCCCCATCTCCTTTTCTTCTCCCCACCACACTGCTTTGTTTCAGACTTGTTAAACAAGAGCTCAAAGCATTCAACAGCAGCCTGAAAAGATTAGGGAACCAGCAGCTTTGGTGCGCATGCCCACCGTGAGGGAGTCAGTTGGTTCACTCACTTAACCAGCTTTTGTGTTTTCACAGTGGAGTTGGTAGCGTCTGATCTGTAGATTGCGCTTGCTGGTTCCATTAGGACCCAGTGGGACAGCCCAAAGGGAGCATTTCACAGAGATGAAGGGTGAAGGGCAGTCCGTCGATCCCAGGGCCATTGGAAGAGCTCCATGTTGCAGATGCCCCTATGCAGAGACTGAGAACTGATGTGGAATAGTTTCTGTGGAGTCTCAGGATATAGAGGCATTGTCTAAAGCTGTCTGGTCCAGCCCTGGTGTGAGTCTTGGCTTTCATTTATGTACATTTCATTTGCAGGGCTTCTACTCTGCATGTGCCAAGTGCAACTTGGGAAACTGGTGATAGAAAATGAATGCTAGTCCTGGTTTCAAAAACCACAATTTGGTATAAAAGATAAAAACCTGGAAAGAGATCTTTGTGACACAGTGAGAGAGGTGGTGGAGTGGAGGAGGTGGACTTGGGGCTGGAGATGGCCACTCGACGTGGTTATCCCTTAGTGTTGAGTTAGAAGGCCGCTGCTTGGTGGCTGAAGTACCGCTAGCCCTAAAGGTCCAGTCCCACCTGCTTTGCTGAGTTTCAAAGATAAATTCCTTATTCATTATGTGTTTGTGATACATAATAAACACACGCATCATTGGGTGTTGACACACATACATGTGCTGTCTTGATCCTTTTTTTTTTTTTGTCTTTTTGAGACAGGGTCTCGCGATGCAGTTCAGGCTGGCCTTGAGCTCACTTTGTAACCAAGGCTGGTCTCAAACTCGAAAAACTCCCTCCTGCCTCAGTCTCCCTAGTGCTGGGATTACAGGCGTGAGTCACCACGCCCAGCTCTGTCTTAATCCTTTTTACTTCCCTTCCCTCCCATCGCTCCTAGCCCGCTTTGCTGAGTTTTGACTTGTCCCTCGCCATAGCTTCTGGTTCCTACTTCGCTCATTGGTCCCTATCCTTTCTTTGGAGCTGAGTCCATTGCCTGACAAGATGACATGGTGATTGGGAAGAAAGAGGGCTGTGGAAACAGAAATGAATGAGTTCAGACTTGACCATGGCTGCATCCTAATGGCCCAGTTGACCTCTTTGAGGTTCAATTCTGTATGTGTAAACCTGCAATTGTGCTTGTCTGCTAAGAATTAAATCAGTTTATACGTTACAGAGTATGGCATAGTGCCCACCCTGCAGTAGACTTGCTGCTGTTTAGTTATATTGATTAGGAAAGGCTTCATAGTTACTGGGCCTCTGGGCCCTCTTAGGAATGTGGTAGAGCGCTCTTCAATGAATTCTGGCCTTCAGAGATCTATTCATTATCTAGTGAGGTTGAAAGTTGCTCATACTCATGCTTCTAGTGTTTGCTAACAATTAGTGCTAGTATCTTTGAGGTATCTCTCACCAACTGGCTGTGCTCTGAGCTGCCCTAGCACGGTGTGAGACTCCAACACCTTTGTTTACACCAAGGAGGATAAATTTGAAATGGCAGCTTCATACAAACCGCTCATCATCACTGAAGCTCTATGACATTGTGCAATTGCCCTCATTTTACAGTTAATGAAGCTGGAAAAGAGTAAAGTCACTTGCAGAGTGTCTGGCAGCTCATGAGAAGCAAGGCCAGAATTTAAAAGTAGATCCTGCTTGCTCTTTGTGCCATGGTACACGGATCTTGTCATTTCCTTGGCCGGCAGGCAGTGACCTAAAATAATCCTGTTTGGAAAATGCAAGCAGAGTTTAATAGGGGCGGAACTGGTCAGTCTATAATTCAGACTCACAGTAAATATTTAGACGCTTTATTAGGGCTTTGCTCTCAGCACAGCATTAACGAGGCTTTCAGTATCAGGATGAGGATTTGGTTTTGTTGGTCATGAGTAGAAGAAGAGCCTGACAAGTAAGAGTTCAGAGAAAATATTTGGTGATGCTAGAAGTTAGTTTCCTGAGCATGAGAGTGGATGGCGAGTTTATCATGGAGGTGACCTGAGCCTTTGGACAGGCTGAGATTTTATAGTTGATCTTGTTAATGGAAAAGAGTAAAGTCACCCTTATCCGGTGCTTCTCTGGGAACCGGCGATGGGAGCTGCAGTGATTACCACACGTGGTGGGTGGGTGTTCCTCAAATGTGAGGGTGATGTGGAGTGAGTCTCCTAGGACAGCTCAGGTCTGAGAAGATGAAGGCAAAGTCAGCCTGGTTTGGGA